TCGAGTTATGGAGCACGTGGGAAGTTTGGAGAGCACTCAAGAAGCTAGAGTTTCCCTCGGCTATCGCCTCGGGCAACTCTTACGCTTCCTTCGTGCTCTCCAAACTTCCCGCGTGCTCCATAACTCGATAGTGCACGGTAAAGCATGAACCAATTGTTAATTAGTTCTTCAAATCTGATTAAGTTTCATTGCCACGCGATAGCCTTCTGGCGATTGCACTTCTGCATGATTATCTTAAAAAAACTGACCATCTTTGGTGACGCTGACTATCACAAGAAGACACACAGGGCTTGTACTGTAAGCGTCTCAGAGAGCTGCATACAATTCCTAATTCAGGAAATGTATGGAGCTCTTCGGGATACTTACAGTGCAAACCTTGCGTGTCTTCTCGTGGCTTCGTATATGATACGCCGATCAGCTGACTGATTTTACAATCATGAAGGTAAATGCCATTTGAACACCCTTGATTAATGTTATAACTGTTTTCCAAAGGCCAAGATGAGGGCATGGAAATGCGAGTCATCGAAGAAGGTATGATACCTATATTCAGCTAGGGTAAACATGGGGGAAAGTCGCACGATGGAGGCGTAAATAGAGGTTCGGCCCTTTAATTTCAGCGAGTAAGTGAAAAAATCATGCCTTATAAACCAACTAACCCTTGGAGTCGGAGGCCAGGATGGGCGAAGAAGAAAACACTTAAAATGACCGGAAATGAAATCCCGTTAATAGTCGTCGGCCTCATTTAAACGCCAGGGTTACAGGGTAAAGTGTAAAAGAAATGCCGCTGATGCTTATGGGAGAAACTACCTTGATTTGTTTTTCTTGAAAGAGAGCTGCTATCAAAGTTGTTGTTTTAATTAATACTGTCAAGAGAAAGTGCATAGGAAGTAGCACTTGTAGTACAGAACACTTTTTATTTTATAACTTTTCTCTTCTCAGTTATAATCCATCGAGAGGCAGAGAGCGATGACAGCGATGACAGCGATGACAGCAATGACAGTGATAACGAATCGAAAGATCAAAGTGAGCATGAGCAAAACGCAGAGCAGACCGATCATGAACAGCCTGGAGAGAGAGGTGAGAGTGAACAGGATGAAAAACCAGAGGAATACCATGAGGGCCAATCAGAGCAGAAAAACGAACCTAAAAAACGGGAGGAAGAATATGAAGAACAACATGAGGATGACATGGAAGATGAGCCTGACAAACAGGAAGAAGAATCGAAAAACCACTGCAAAGAATCCAAAGGACAAGATGAAGATGACATTGATGTTGAGCCTGACAAACAAGACGAGGAACTAAAAAAGGACTTCGAAGTATCTGAAAAGCAAGACGAAGATGGCATGGACGAGGAAGCTGGGGAAGACGAAAGACTAATCGCGAATAAGGGTATGTATACCAACCCTAGCCCCGGCTTCCTTTGAAAAATAAAATTCTGATGTATTGATATTAATAGCGAGCTTAAGATCCGACGACGGCAGACATCTGGGACGGTAAGCGGAAGTGAAGTTACCCTCAAAATTACTTCCGTTTACCGTCGTTGTGAGGTTT